ATAGGCCATTGGTGCAGCATCACCTACTCGAATTCGAGTTCGGAGCATTCTCGTGTATCCACCGGCTCTATCTCTGTAATATATAAGTTTCAAGATATTTAGAACCATATTTCAATTAAAAAAAATAGAGAAGAAATTTAATGGTTTGAGGTTCACTTGTATCTGTAAGCCAATTCAGTAAATAGCTTATGAATGACATCATCCCCACGCACAAAGGCAGCTGCCTGTCTTGCAGCAGATAGACTTCCCTGCAATAGTTCAAAAAGTGTGCCCAGGTACAAACAAAGTTAAAGATAAAACCTGAAAACAGGACCATCACTCAGAAAACAAAGGAGAGAAAACAGAAAAATAAAATTGCAGAGATAACTTTAGATTCCATCTCAAATCTCATTTTTGGGTTTTCCAGATGAGAAGCGCACAAAGGTCACATTCCATTTTTTTTATTCAGTGAAGTGAGATTTGAAACAAGAAATATGCGAAAAAGTGATATTAGACTCAGGAGTATTTTCACCTTATGTTCTAACTCAATTCGCAAAAGAAACCAACAAGACCAAGGTCAACCAGCTTAAGCTCCAATCATCAACAGCCAACACTACCTCTACAATCGAGAAACTAATCAAAATTTCAAAAAGAGGCAACAATGTTTCACCCATTTCTTTAAATGTCAACCCTGTGATAACACTCTCTTAAATCAAACCCAAATAAAGAAACTTTCCTGCCATCTCGTTTTTAATCAAGGTGAACACCACTATGCTCTTTGAGTACACAAATTGCTCTTATTAGCAACATCATCTCCTTTGATTGGCCACTTTTCAGCTCGAATCCATTTCAGAGTGGCATTTTGGATCCGAACTCCCTAGTATTGTCCTATTTTCCTCATATTTTGGGATAAGTTCCCTATCTTCCTCATTAATTCTTCTGTCCTTCCATTTTCTCTACATGGACAAAAATCTCATTATCGTTCCTCAATAACGCGAAAGAGACGAGGAATCAGATCCGAGACTGTATGGCAAGAAAAGCCAAAATAGACACTATCCCCCACTTTTTCATGAGAACAAACACCACCTCTTCACATAAAAGCTTCCTGTGCAATCACTGGTAATATGCATCTTATATTAATTGGTTAAGACAACATCATAACACCATTGAGCAATCCCCCATAACTTAAGTTGTCATGTGTCCTGATTCAAACTGAATCTTCTGGAGAAACACTGAAGCATTTGGGGACAAAACAGAACTTTCTCTATGGAAATCCCAACCTTTAAGCAGAACTCTCCATCTCTGATCCTAAATGACTCGAAACACTGCCACCGTCTTTGACTGAGACTTTTCAACAGATCAGTAGGAGTATGTCCACATCCAAAAAGCCTCTGCAGATACACACACACACACACACACATATATATATATATATCCAATCTGTTTGAATAGTCCCATGCACCAACGATCGATGGGAATTCCCATTAAGCTAATTAAAGAAACCCTATTCTCTTTTTCTTAATCCTGCCCACTGTGTGCTAAAGGAACATCAGTCAAGCAGCAAAAGACACTCACAACCACCACCTTTCTTCCTTTAAAACTCGTTCAGCTTCTACCTTGAAGGGAAATCTGAAAAACAACAAGGCATCACCTTAATTGGACACCTTCGGTCAGGTCGGCTCTTCTTCAAGACCTCGCCACCAATCTGCGATCAAATCTATTGACGCTGCCCATTCATGGAAGTGGCGGACCAAGCAAGGGTCCGAAAATGCAAGCTTTCTTTCTGCATCATCCCTTGACACTATAAACAAGCTTTGATCACCTACCACATATCGTCGCACCCACGAATAGAGATGGCTACCTTGCTAGCTCACCAAGAACCTCTTCATTAACGAAAAGAAATCAAACCAACTTACTACTCGTTTTGCCATAACCTAGGCTTAAATTACACAGTAAATCGGCTCTAATCTAACTTCATAGGATACCCAGTTTCTGACGGAAAAGAACGGCCACTACCTTATGCAGAGAACAGCCTCAAAATCTAGAGAGAAGGCAGATGTTCTCTCTCTAAAACTAGCTGTGATGCTTGACTATTAATTTGATAGAACAAATGAAATCTTTATGGAAATTATGTAAGAGTGGATAGCCGTGATGCAATTTTAGGTTAAGAATTCAGCAAATAAACCATGTATACAGCATTACTGACCAATTGGCAATTTTTTTTATTTTTTTTTGTTTTTGATAACCGTGGTGTCCGGGCCAGCTTGCGCGCACCTCGACTAATTCCACGGGATACCTACCACCTCCCACCAGCAACAGGTACCAGATAACTCTATCCACCAAGGCTTGGATAGATGGGAAAAAATCACCTAGTATTTGCCTCCGCTGGGATTTGAACCTGAGACCTCATGGTTCTCACCCACTTCATTGACCACTAGGTCACACCCTTGGGTGCGACCAATTGGCATACTTTTCTTGCAGTATATTATATTTTACTTTTTAGTACAAAGTCATGGTATGCATTTCAAGGGTGAATGAGACTAAAACGATAGATTAACATTTTCACACACCACAAAACCTAAGAAATTTCATTTCTAAGAAAAAACAACTTCAAAATTTCAATTTTCCATCCATATTTCTACCTCCTTTCCAAGCTGAACCATATTGTCGGCCAACCTTCGAACTTCCTTTGCCTGCATTCATATAAAGAAGACAGACGGGATTAATCAGCCCAAATACACATTAAATCTAGTAGCTTGTCAAATTGAAATTTTAAAAGCTTTAAAATGTTTTGTTACTTATTAGAAAAAGGTAATGTTTAAATGCTTGTCAAATAAACCAAGATATACTTCAAGTTTCAAGGATGTATCGCATTTTAGAAGAACTTACCTTATTTCCAGAGCTAGCTCATTACAGGTAGGTATGTGTTTCATGGACTATGAGCTCCCTCTTAAAGAGGGGAGCACTAAACACTAAATATTCTTTTAAACTGTAATTATGTCAATTCTTTTGTCTGCATAAATACGGTTTGTTCTTATAGTTATTATTTGCACCTTTATTCTTATAATTAAACAATTTATTATTTGCGCCTTTATTCATTAAAGCTTGCATGTTAACTTACGGTTTGCGCTTTAAGCCCCAGACCTTGTCACTTTTCCAGATTTTCGTTTTTGATAACACTGGGACAAGATGTTAACAAGAATACAAAGAACAAAAGACAGCTCTAAACAAGGAGTTACAGCAATTCCTCTCGAGATCATTTAATGTTACACGAAAAAGCAAGCCTTCACCATTTTACTAGAAGCGCATATGCAATCCAATAATGTAGACGAAAAACATAAGGCCCTAAGTAGTCAGTAGAGTTCCTTTTCCTATAGTTGACTCCATATTCTAAACATGCAAAAGTTGGCACCATATCTTTGTCCTAGAGCACTCTATCAACCCATTCAAGCCAAATACACCACAAAGTTACAAGCATAAAACATATGCACAAACATTACCTTCTATATTTTATCAGACCCAAAAAGTTAGAAAGAAAGAACTCAAACTACGACACAAGCTTCTCTCATCATTACAAATAGCCACTCCAATGCCCTAGCAGAAGGGCAATCCACATCAAATATGGATGGGACTCCTGCTTTGTATGCACATATACACCAGTCTTATATAGAAGCAAGTGTGACAGGCGTGAAGTCTACGATGAACTAATATCACGGTAAATCGTTTTTGTTTCAAAAGGAACCCCCACTTTCCGGAAAAAGATAACAGACAAAACCAGTTGGAATCATGAACTTAATAATAGAGAAGAAAGACTTGAACCTTAAGACACTCTACGGGTACGAGATGTAGACTGCATAAGATTACCAATCAAATTGGAAAGGGGCAACTCGATCATCACATCATTGAGGTTCTGTGAAAGAAGTCCTTTTTTGAGTTACAAAATGATAAGAATAGAATGCCTGTGAATAAGGTAACACAGCATCGGCATATATCAGATAAAGGGATACTGCCTATGAGATCCTCCCTAAACCAAATACGTCCATAATCACCAAGGATAATGGGGAAATGAAGTAATCTATTCCTATATCTTGCATCCCAACCATTATAATGAAGAAAGGCCATCCTTGCTTTTGATCACATCACAAAAGAGCTTTTGATAATAGAAAAGGCTTATAGACACCAAGATCCCAAATCCCAACTTAATAAATGGTCTCTCCATGTGTTATGACTCCCTTTACAAAGAAAACCATGCATCAGATGCTCGATTTTCCCAACCACCCATTTAGGAAGAAGCAATTACAATTAGTAAAGACAACAGTAGAAATGCATGACACAACTCTAGTTATAAAAACCCCTGAAGAGAATAAAGACCATTTTCAACTATCACGCCTTTAAAAGACACCTTTCACCGTGGGATACCAAAGGTTATACAACAAAGGCCACTGGACTTCCCCACAAAGGCAATCTGAAAGAATGGAAAAGACAACTCAAGATAGAGAGTCCAGCCATTGAACTAAATCTTTTGATTTTGTAATTACTCATATGATCCATGGCTGACACTCTCAACCATAATAAATTTCAACAGAGAGCCAATTTCTAACATACTAAGAAGGTTTAAAGGATTAAAAAAGGGTAACTCTTCAAACAGAGATGGCCATTATCTACTTCAAATGATAAAACATTAGTTCAGTATTTGTCCACTGCTGGAGGAACTGTTCGTAGCTAAGATAGAGTAATACTCTTCCCCCTCTAACAGCCCACATTATCCATCACAATTCTGGTCGTTGGTATATGCAATTTTCAACATCCAATCGGCACTACCTAACGCAGTAGGGGAAACTTTGGCCAAGTGGGCAGTTTAGCAAAAGGAAAAGAGGGGGCTAAAAATTATGGAAAATACCCGTTTGTGTAGGTAGATGATCGGACTTTCGAGTGGCGTAATGTACATGGTACACCATTAGTTTTTTATCAGACATTTGTTTGAGTTAACCAATTAATCAAAGAATAACAAATACTAAGATCTTTGCAGAAATACTAAATCAATGTGGACAAAGCTATACTTTACGCGAAGTGGGTAGCTGTAAAAACACTACAATAAAAAGCTTCTATTACCTTAGCAACGGTAGTTTCAATTCGCTCGTGCTTTACTAATTGCGACACCATTGTCCTACAGCAAACCCATTTGCAATTATATGAAATTCTTCAACTAACACAAAGAGTACATAGGAAAATAATTATGCGAACAAAGAGGAACCTGAGCATGGACATACGATGTCCGGTTGGACGATTCAGTTTCCTGAATTTGGTCATTTTTGCTCTTGCTCACCGGAGAAATGAGAAAGAGAAGAAGGGAAAATATGGAGAGGGGAACACTGATAGTGTTAAAACCCTGATTTTAGAGGTTTTAGTGAGGATCCAAAACCCGGTCCATTTTTAGCTCATCAGTGAAAGCCCAATTCGGATTCGGACCTTTTTGGTCCATTATTGAGGGGCAAGTGCACAGATAGCCGATTTCATGTTCTTTATTTGCTTGGTTTGATTTGCATTTTGTTTATTTTGTTTTATTATTTGCTAGTTGTTTATGTGTTACTGCTTTATAACTGTCATCACTTGCATAACCTTGGGTCAATTCTTTCTGCAACAAGTCTCGTAGTACCCGTCATGTACATGAACTCTTTATTATGTCACCCTTATTTTAGAAGGGGGGAGCCATCGAACGTATGGAATGGGTGGAAAGCTTGAGCAGCCACCATCGGCCATACGTTCCCTCGAATTGCCTTGTTAGTGAACCCAAGCATAGGTCAGCCTTTAGGTCACGATTATATGCATCATATTATTATGACGTAGCACGGCCCGGTCCTAGGTACCGTGTTCCTTCGTAGGAAGCTTGTCCAAATTATGTCAAATGGGCTTGCTGGCCCAAAAGGACATTCAATCATCCTATGTGCTAAATGTCACATCTTTGATGGTAGAAAGGTCATTAGGCGGACTGATATTTGGGAAAGAAGAGTGAAAAATATAGTAAGAAATAATATTGAGGGTTTTATCACCTGTAGTTTTATTGCCCCATTTTCTAAAAATAAAAAATAATTACAAAAAAAAAGATTTTACACTTTCTTATCATTTTTCAAAAAAAAAAAAAAAGTATAGTTTTTTCCAATTAGTTGCATTTTTCAAAGCTTTTTCTTATATCCAATCCTCCCGAACTACGCACACCTGATTCTCGTCTTTCGGGGCGAGATACGTAGGTAGCCCACATAGGGTCCGGTCTTCCTAGTGAGTCTCAAGTTCTTGGCTTCGGGGGTCGTAGTCAAATCTTGCATGTTTAGCCACATTTGGCCACACCGGCCGTCTTTGCAAAATAGGGATATTTTTGCTAAAGTTACTTGTTAACTCATGTCTTAGATTCCTAAGTCCACAACAAAGTGTCCTCTTAGGTTAAGGTCCATTCTTGTTGAATTTTGCATGTATAGCCAATTCTGGTCACATCGGCCGTTTTGCAAAATGGGGTCATTTTTGCAAAAGTGGTTCAGTGACCCGTGTCTTAAAATATTGAGTACACATCTAGGTTGAGGTCACATTTGTTGAGTTTGCACTAATAGCCACCCTTGACCATATAGGCCATTTTAAAAAAATAAAAATTTTATATATATATATATATATATATATATATATATAAAGCCCAATTATGTCTTGCATGTGTCTAATAGGAAGTGATGTGGTGTCACATAATGTCTTGAGTCACTAACTGTGTTCTCTTCATTCAGGTATGGACCCACTAATTCGATCAAAAGTGTTGATGGTAGTGAAAATTTCGAGAAAGTTGGTCAGGTGGTGGAAAATATTTTCACTGTTAGAACAACACGAGCTAATGAATAAGTTGGGCACCCTCACTTCACTTCTTAATATCACACCTCGCCCGGATTTAGTGGAGGCGATGTTGACCTATTGGGACCCGCATAATATGATTTTTAGATTTAGAGAGTGTGAAATGACTCCTACCCTGTCAGAAATGTCTGGTCTCACTCGTCTAAGTTACAAAGGCAAAAACATGATACTTCCCCGAGATCACTCTAGAACAAGATTCCTTAGCGACTTGGGCCTTAAGACAACAAGCATTTGGGATGCCTCGAGCAGTCTTGGATATCTTTGGATTATTTTTTTGCTAGATTTAGGCCTCACGATGGCTTTGATGTCTTTTGGGATGAGTTTTGCACAACTAAAGAAAAATGGCAAAGACGTTACCTTGAAGCTTTTAGCCTTGCTTTGTTGGGTATATTGGTGTTTCCTTTGGACGAGAGGCATATTAGCACTCGGCTACAATCAGTAGTAATTGCCTTATTTTATGAGAAACAATGCAAAATTGTTATCGTTGTGCCAATGATCTTGGCAGAATTGTATCGAGCCCTCATTGAGGTTAGGGGAGGTGTTAGGTTTTTTTAGGGGAGTAACCTTTTGCTACAATTGTGGATGATGGAGCACTTACACACTGCTTCCTTACTTTTTTTCATTGACCGTGCTTTGCGTGATCGAGTGGTATACATGAGCGTCGAATGGAGTCTCCTAAGTTTACATATCCAGTAGGTGTCATGGCTTGAATTGAGTTTTTGGGTTGAGGACAAGTGGGAATATTTTGTGGACCTACCTTTGGCTTCCTTTAGATGAGATCTTGGTAGGATGTCGCATGCAACCTTTCTTGATGTTGATAGGACTTAGGTGTGTCATGCCATACACGCCAATTAGGGTGATGCGACAGTTGGGCAGAAGATAAGGGGATCCACCAACTCTGAATCTTCGTAGGCACATCATGATTTTAGCAAAAAGGCGACTGATGAGATCAAGTACGTGCAATATTGGAACAATGCAAAGAGGATGAAAAAAAACATATTAGTAGAGGACATTGGCAGGCCCGAATGTACTCATGAGTATTTGATTTGGTTACAGTCTATTCCACTTGGGGTTAGTACCCCATTACCAGCACAGCTTAGGGGGCGAGCAGTTCAGACAGATGATTCCTAGGAGGCTTCAGATCTAGATCCTTGGGGTAGGTTTGAGTTGCTAGGGTCTCAATTAGCAGGTTTGTTAGCCAATGTGGAGCATCATGGTCAATATTTGTTTAGGGTCGGCCTTCAGGAGGCAGGGGCACACGCCAGGACCTTTGTTCCCAGCATTGGTGCATCTTTACGAGGCATGTTACAGAGCTTGATCATGACAGACGTCTCAGGACCATCCCAGCCAGGACCGTTGCATTCCGGAGCTGATTGAGGAGACTTTTTATGTTTTGAGTCCAATTTTTTATGTCTTTTAGTTCTTGTCTTGCCTAGCAGTATTGAGTCTTTTAGGTAGTGTCAGAGTCTATCGTAGTCTAGTCTAGTTTGTCAAGTCCTTTGTTATCGTGCTTCCTATTTTGTATTTGAAAACCAAAAAAAAAAATTATAAATGAAAAGGTTTTTTGTAGTTAGTTTATTTTGTCAATTTTTTTTTAGAACTACGCTTGGTCTGATTCATGTGGAACATGATACGTAGGCAACCTATAACAGGTTTGATCTATTCATTTAAAAAATAAGAGAAAATAGATGAAGTTTTGGGATGTAAGAAATGAGAGAAAAGAAAAGATTTATAAGCATAAAGAAAAGAGAGGAAAAAAGATGATATAATCCAGAGAGCGTTAAAATAAAATAAAATAAGGAAGGTTGGAACCAGCAAATCGGGATGATGCCATATGACTTTGTGACCCTCAAAGTCATTCTAGAACCGTTAATTGCTGCTAAGTGCATCGCATGTAATGTGATATTATTATTTGATAAATGCCCTAACGCTAACATATTGGCTTTGTTTTGCTCCTTTTTGTTATTTTCATTAAGCAGTAGGAAGGTGGTTGGTTTGTAGCACTCTGGTGATTCATCCATACAACACTAGGTCAAAGATCAAGGCATTCATGACTAGCAAAGAATTAGACACAAGTGTTGTTGATACATCAAAAGAGATTGTGGAGTCAGAATCTGAGTTGAATGAAGAGGTTCAAAGGTTGAAACAACAGATGTCAGATATGTATCAAGCTTGGATTAGTGGGCATCCTCCTCCCTCATTTCTCACTAACTACACTAAAAACCCAGCCACCATCCTACCACTATCACAAGGCCAGATTCCCACCACTATTGATTTTTTCCCACAACATGCTCCGGGCTTTACCCCTTATCACAACTACCCTGGCACCTCTTCCCAGCCTTTCCATGCTCCACCAGCCAAAACAACCTCATATCCCGCTCCAACATCCACTCTTATTCTTGTAGCCCATTCACAAGCTACTATCCATCGATCTTCTAGTGAACCCGCGTTCAAAGCTCCCGATGCCCAATACTATGCTCCAGAACCAACTTTCAAAGTCCCGGATCCCTATTATTATACCCCTCACTTTGAGCCCCCCGTTGAAATTGAGAAGCCTGCTAAGAATGTGGAGCAAGAGGAGATATTCAGGAAGGTGAAGAGTTTAGAGCAATATTTAAGGAACATGCAAGGGATAGGAAACCAAGTAAGTGTGTCTTACAAGGACTTGTGCCTATTCCTTGACATCCAACTGCCCGTCGGGTTCAAGATGACAAAGTTTGATCTGTATAACGGACATGGAGATCCCGTGGCCCATTTGAGAGGTTATTGTAGTAAGATGAGAGGCGTTGATGGAAAGGACGAGCTTTTGATGGCCTATTTCAGTCAGAGTTTGAGTGGGGCAGCCCTGAAATAGTACACACGTCAAGATACTAGCAGGTGGTATACATGGGATGATATGGCTCAGTCCTTTGCCCGGCACTTTCAGTATAATATAGATATTGTCCCGAATCGCCTGTCCTTGACCAAGATAGAAAAGAAGCCTAATGAAAGCTTTAGGGAATACAGGCTCAGATGGAGAGAACAAGCTGCCCGGGTCAATCCTCCGATGGAAGAAGACGAGATGGTCAAGTACTTTCTTCAAGCCCAAGAGCCTACTTACTTTGGCCACTTGATCTCAGCCATGGGCAAGCCTTTTAATGATGTGGTAAAGATGGGAGAGATGGTAGAAGAGGGACTCAAGTCGAGCAAGATCATGAGCTACTCCGCTATAAGAGCAACCACACAGGCAATCCAGAACGACACAGGAAGTTTGTTAGGCAAGAAGAAAAAGGATGATGTTGCTACGGTTGTCTCTGGGCCATGGCGTGGCACAAGGGGTCCGCCTCACCAGTACACTCAACCTCAACCCCAACTCCAAGCCTACACACACACTCCATATAATACACCGCGACAATATTTCCCACCACAGGATCCTCAATACTCAGTCAGGCCACCACAATACCATATTCACCACACACAATCATATGCTCAACCCCTTCCTTACTCGCAATGGCATGTACCA